CGCTGGATACTATAACCATTACGACGGCGGGATTCCGGCTGTGTTTGGAACGTTGAGTGCTCTCGAGCTTCTCGATTTAGGGAACTGTAATCTCTCCGGTGAAATTCCACCGAGTTTGGGGAATTTGAAGGTCTTGCACTCTCTATTTCTACAAGTAAACAATCTAACGGGTCGGATTCCTCCCGAACTTTCCGGTTTAGTTAGTCTCAAATCGCTGGACCTCTCGCTGAACGAACTCACCGGCGAGATACCGGCGGGTTTCGTGGCACTGCAGAAAATTACACTTCTCAATTTATTCGGCAACAAACTCCACGGTCCAATTCCTGGTTTCGTCGGTGATTTTCCGCATCTCGAAGTGCTTCAGTTGTGGAATAACAACTTCACGCTCGAGCTTCCAGCGAATCTCGGGCGTAATGGTAAACTATTTCTGCTTGACGTGGCTACAAATCATCTTACTGGACTCATACCTCCGGATTTATGTAATGGTAGATTGAAGACTTTGATTCTGTTGGATAATTACTTCTTTGGACCCATCCCTGAGGAATTAGGACGGTGTGATTCGCTTAAGAAAATAAGAATTGCTGGAAATTTCTTCAATGGAACGGTTCCGGCAGGGTTCTTCAACTTTCCGGCATTGGAACTACTCGATATTAGTAACAATTACTTCTCTGGCACTCTTCCGTCGCGAATGTCAGGCGAGTTTCTTGGAAGTCTGCAGCTCAGTAACAACCATATCACAGGGGAAATTCCGGCGGCGATTAAGAATTTAAAAAACTTGCAGGTTCTTTCCCTGGAACATAACCAATTCACCGGAAATTTACCTGTGGAAATATTTGAATTGAATAAGTTGCTTAGAATCAACACCAGCTTCAACAACATTAGCGGCAAAATTCCGCATTCGCTCGTTCAGTGCACGTCTTTAACATCAATTGATCTCAGTGAAAACTACCTCGTTGGCCAAATTCCCAAAGGAATTTCGGATCTGAAAATCTTGAGCGTTCTCAATTTGTCAAATAATCATCTGACGGGCCAAATTCCGAATGAAATTCGGTCGATGATGAGTCTTACAACTCTTGATTTGTCCTACAACAATTTCATAGGTAAAATCCCCACCGGCGGTCAGTTTTCAGTATTCAACGGCAGCGCATTCGTCGGAAATCCAAACCTCTGTTCCCCTAACGATGGCCCTTGCGCATCGCTACACAATAACACGAAATCCATTAAGCTAATCCTCCCTATCGTTGCGGTATTCATCGTTTTGTTATGCGTACTCGCCGGAGTTTACATCAGGAAGAGAAAGAGGATTCAGAAATCAAAGGCATGGAAACTCACGGCGTTCCAACGCCTCGATTTCAAAGCGGAAGACGTCCTAGAATGCTTGAAGGAGGAAAATATCATCGGCAAAGGTGGTGCCGGGGTCGTCTACCGTGGATCTATGCCGGACGGCTCCATCGTGGCGATCAAACTGTTGCTAGGAAGTGGCCGGAACGACTATGGTTTCTCTGCCGAAATTCAGACCTTGGGGCGGATCAAGCACCGGAATATCGTCAGGCTTTTGGGGTACGTGTCGAACAAAGACACGAATCTGCTGCTGTACGAGTACATGCCAAATGGGAGCTTGGACCAAAGGCTGCATGGAGCGAAGGGCGGGCATTTTCACTGGGACTTGCGGTACAAGATCGCGATGGAAGCCGCCAAGGGGCTCTGTTACCTGCACCATGATTGTACGCCGCTGATCATTCACAGAGACGTGAAGTCCAATAATATACTGCTGGATAAGTTCTTCGAGGCACATGTCTCTGACTTCGGGCTCGCCAAGTTCTTGCAGAACGGCGGCGCCTCCGAGTGTATGTCCTCCATTGCCGGCTCCTATGGCTACATCGCTCCAGGTTTGTTCTTCCATCTGCTTCATCTTCATTAATAATTCTAAAAATGTTCAGTTCTTTAATTAATTTGTATTAAATTAAGATTATTAGCTATTAACTTAGCATGAGACTTTTCTTTCTACTTATATTACTTTTATTTAAAATTAGGTTAGAAACCCCAACTAATACCAACGCTTCCATTTGGGGCAACCGACTTGAGTTGGGCCTATGGAGCCCATATAGTGATGTGGGCTTCTTTGTTTGAAGCCCAACTTCTGAATGACGTGGAGATAGATGAGATTGATTTTCTTTTTTCTTTTTTCTTTTTTCTTTTTTCCTTTTTCTCTGTAACCGTACAACAGAATACGCCTACACGCTGAAAGTGGACGAGAAGAGCGACGTGTACAGTTTCGGCGTGGTGCTGTTAGAGCTGATAGCCGGGAGGAAGCCAGTGGGAGATTTTGGCGAAGGCGTGGACATAGTAAGGTGGGTCCAGAAAACCATATCAGAACTGTCTCAGCCGTCGGATGCAGCATCAGTGTTAGCCGTGGTGGACTCGCGGCTGACCGAATACCCTCTCCAAGGCGTGATCCACCTCTTCAAAATAGCGATGATGTGCGTTGAAGAAGACAGCTCCGCAAGGCCTACCATGAGGGAAGTGGTCAAAATGCTCTCGAATCCGCCAAGGTCTGCCCCTGCTCTCATCAACCTCTAATATTTCGACCCTTTTGTGTGAATAATATGAAGCTGCCAAACATCTCCTAAGCTTATCCCTAAAAAATGAAATGTTTAGAATATGATATTATGATATATAGTGGAATCTATGTGTAATTAATTAGTGTTGTGAGATGGTTAATGGTTGCTTACTGTTGCCTAGTTTGTTGATTAGTGTTTGTGAACCTTTTGTTACTTAAAATGTTAATATTATTAATAATATATGGATTGGTATGTTCATGGAGAAGGGTGTCATTAATGTTGCTTTCATATATATAGGTCAAAAATTGCAGACCTGATGTTACTAAATACTACCTGATGTTGCCATTATTAATGTTTGGTCTTATTCTTAACTTACGCCTAAAACTTCTAATTTTTACATTTTGATGCTAACTATCTTTCGTTTTCGGGGTTACTCGTGAATGACCTAAAAGCTTCTAGTTGAGTTGGATATATAAGTTTTTATGTGATTTTTTTTTTATCTCATTTTCTTAATCACAGGAGGTTACTGGAATGACCTAAAAGCTTCTAGTTGAGTTGGATAAATAAGTTTTTAAGTGACATTTTGTTGTTGTTGTTTTTTTTTTTGTCCCATTTTCTTAATCATAGGAAAGTTGTATGTGTTGTGCAAAATTATAGTTGAAAACTCAACTTTTTGAATAAAAATAAAAAATAAAAGCATAGCATACAGTTTACTAATGGCTTAAACTATAAATTAAATAAACAAGATAAACAGAAATGTAGTAATGTGAGCCAGTCATGTTTTAATTTATTACATTCATCTTCTTCTAAAGCTTCCCAATTTTTTTACTTGGTTCTTCCCTTTAAAAATGAGGCGTAGGACGTGTGAACCGAACCCATCCTAATTCAATGCTCAATTTGATGTTTGAGTTTAATCAACAAACTTTAACGAGAGATTTTAAAATGAGAAATTTTTTATCTTCACAAGGTTGATAGGGTATTTATGCGATAATCCTTTAAGCTTTATTACGTCTCCTTTAGGAATTAGGTTAAATACAAACAATACTAAATTTAAAAAATATGCTTCAATTCGCTCCATGCCCCTTTGAGAGACTAAAGCATATGGTCAACCGTACCTCGTAGGTCGAGCCCGAGGCCTAAGAAAAAAATTTGTCCTTTTTTTGCTTTTTTGTGTTTGTTCAAATCTGTCCGGAGTAGAGATTTTTCCAATTAGTTTCGATTCTATTTTTTTTTTATATATTTTGAATTTGTTCTTATGATTATTTATAAAATAAAAAAATTTGTGAATATGAATATTTTATAGGCATTTGCATAAAATTGAGACAACAACATTTTAGTCAACAAGGAGACCATCCATTGATATAGTTAATAAATTAAAGTTACTTGCTCCCCACCAAACACCTTTGAAAGTAGTTAAATAGGGTCATATTTGAATGTCATCAAGTGACCCACAACTAAAAAACACAGACAAATTCAATTAAAATTCGTACTTGTAATTAAAATCCCATTTTTATAATTAGTCTAAACACCCATGGTCTCCTAAAATACTGCATTGTTTTTTAGGGCAAAAAAAGAACTTTTTTTTTATTATTGTAAAAAATAGAACACATTTTTAAGAAAAAGAGTCAGTAAAAGCTTCAAGACAAATTGGTTCAAAGTCCAAATCCTTTTAGGCTGCAATTATTTCCTTCCAAATTAATAATTAAAAAGCCTACAAAAAGGCATTCCGTATGCCAGAAAGTGACAGTTTTTGGATTTCTTCATGCCGGTCCGGACATTTCCAGTTCATTACCAAACCCGGTTCGAACCGTCTCAAGATTCGTCTTCCCATCGTATACAAAGACCAAAATTTTGAAAAACAAGAGAGCGAAAAAAAAAAGAAAAAAAAAGAAAAAAAAAAAGAACACATAAAAATCACGATTGGAGCGAGAGGAGAGAGAGAAAAAAAAAAAAGCAACGTTTTCGTTTTTTCTCTCTCGCTCGCCCGATGTGGGAGAAGGTTTCACAGACGACAAAACGAGGGTTTTGTGAAAACGGAAAAGAGAGAAAGAAAGCCTAAGTTTTAGAGAGAGAAAATCTTCATTCATCAACCAGAGGAGAGAGAAATTCAGAGCAGGAGGGAAGAGTTCTTTGGGAGCTCCTATTGCTCGCCGATTCTGAAGCTAGGGTTTCGAGTTCTGTTGTTTAGGCAAGACACTCGTACTGTTTCGTCCTTTGCATTTTATTTACTCAATCTTATTTATTATCATTATTTTTTTCCATTTTGTATCGTAATCAGTATCTACACATTAATTCCTACAATTACCTATTGAAATTTGCATTTCATTTTTCGTCCACGCCGTTTTTCGTTTTTAAAGACGGTAAAGCTGGGTGACCTCATTTGATAATTTCCATTTTCTATGCTCTAACCTATCATCTGATGCTGGGATACGTACACAGGTGCTAGTTTCTAAATCTCGTTTGGCCTTTTCGGGGAATATGCATGAACTGCTTACTCAACTCTGGCTGTTGTTTAGAATTATTGTCGTCTAGCCATCGGGTTGTATTGGTAGCGGGATGGTTTTTCAATTTCATTATTCAGTGGATAACAATCATCATTTTCCCTCCTCAATTGGTCTTCTGAAGTAGCTTCTGCGTTTGATTTTAGCACTGGTAATGCTTTAGATTTTGTATTCCATTGATAGTTGGGCTCTCCATTACAGTAGCGGGTTGTTTTCCGAACCATGATTCATTGGCACATCGTGTTTAATTTTGCCTTTTAGAAAGTTGAACTCGGTTGAAAGTCTTGCTCGTGATCGACCTTTCTTTTGGTGAATATTGAAAATTCCTACGATAGTCAAATAGGTTTTCTGACTGTTATAATCTGTATCGTTAAACTAATGTGTTTTTAGATTAATATGGATTGAATTTGTCCTTCTTTTGTAATTTTTTGGTACAGTTCTCAGGGTTTCTAATCAATAAGAGCATTACTTGTTGGAATACTAGACTGACAAGCCTTGCTTTTGGTTTCTTTGATAAAACAATGCTCGTTATTTGCTGAATACTCTTGAAGTTCTAGCATTGGAACAATTGTGATGCAAGATCAATCAAGGACATTGTATGTTTCAATTCTTACAATGATTTAGATGTTCATTTATTGATGATTTTTAATTTATAACTTATTAGTATAGCCGCCATAGCCTATAGGATTGGGATGCTATTATTTTATTTTTTTGCTTTATTTTGATTAATAATTTTGGCCTATGATATTTACTTTTGTTATGGTTTTCAAGTTTCATGTCAGGTCTTCTGTGAACTGAATGTATATATATTGGATTGATCATCTACCACTCTCTGTTTAAGTTTCCATATGTTTGATGTACAAGACCTCAGAGACTTTTCTTCATATAATTTATCTCCAGTGGATTGATAACGGATTTTGACTAATTAATTGAGCTGGATGCTTGTGTCACAATCAGGGTTTAATGTCAGGCATCTTATAATTGATATAGTGAATTTTTGTTGTGAAGAACAATAGAAGATTTATCAGCTACGCCTGTTTGAATCTTCATATAATTTGTGATCCGTCTTTTCAAATACTTTTCTTATGCAATTACATATTTGTTTTTCTCTGCTTCTTATGCTCGGTGTAAGTTTGTAAACTTATCTCCTTGTAGCACATGCTTGATGACAAATATGCAGCAATATCAGTTTAAAGTTTCATGCATATTTTCCCTAGTTTTAGGAATCTCTCTTTATTAACAAATATATATTTTTTTATTTGCAGTGTCGTTTTATAATTTTTAACCCAGTAATCTGCTAGATGGATGAGAAGGTTCTCTCATTTCATGCTCGCAAGGATGGTATATGAAGCATGATGACACTTGAAGACTTCTTCACCTTGACTGAAATTAAAAATGGGCTTACAGCCCCATGTAGAGTTGAAGAGTTGATTAATGTTATGCAAAAGGAGAAAGATTGTTTTGTGAAGAATGTTAGTGATGCAACCAGGCACTGGGCTGCAGTTGCTGGTGCTATTACTGCTACGGAGAATAAAGATTGTCTTGATCTTTTTATCCAATTAGATGGACTGAGCTTTATTCAAAGATGGCTTAAGGATGCTCAAAAGTTCAGGAACGATACAAATGATAGCACTGTGGAAGAATCTATCATTGTTTTGTTGCAAGCACTTAAAAAGCTTCATATAACTGCTGAGAAATCTATTTCTTCTGGGATTTTATTTACTGTCAAGGGTCTTTATGAAAATAGTGACCATGGAAAGTCTAGATTCGGGAAGGAATTAAGTGTACTCCTTGACAGGTGGATGCAGGAGATAAATGATAAAGATTTGCTCCATGATGCAGAAAATGTTGGTGTACATTTTGATGATGCCTCAAATCTTTCTCACGGTGCAGGAAGGTCATCTGCTCCGGGAGGATCTGTTCCAAGAGAATTATCCAGTGATGGAAAACTAGCAGTAGAACCTGTTAGAGGCAAAATATTATCCTCTGAGAGCTCTGATGCTCTTCACCCAGATAAGATTAAAGATTCAAATGTCCAATCTCCAAGAAACGAGCTTGACTCTCATTCAATATCTGGAAATTCTGTTGTGAAAGATAGATCTCCAGATTTAACAACAAACGCAGCTGCCGTGTCAGTTCCAATGGAGGATGTTTCAAAGAAGGAAGAAACATCTCTATGTTCTGTTGGTGGAGGAACCTCGGCTGCTATGGCTTGTAGCTCTCCAGTTGCAAGGGAAGGCAGTGATAATGAACAGTTAGATGGCTCAAAGAAGTTGAATGAGTTGCCAGAGCTTGACAGCCAAGTGCACAAGATTGATGGCTCCTCTGGTAGGTCATGTGTGACAGAAAAATCAGATAACTCTACTCATTCTCCCATGCAGGATCTGGGATCTGTCATGGAAGGTTTTGATGCTGCAAATGGTGAAGAGTCTGCTAAAGAAGCTTCAGCTCAGCAAGATAATGATGGTCTTGACAATGCTGGTGTTTCTCGACATAGTTCTAGTCTAGATAGTGAGAGAGTTACCACATTGGATTCTGAAAATGGGAAATCAGATAAAAAGACAAATTATTCTAGCATGCCTGTTTTCAAATCTGCAGGCCTAGATGCTGAGCACTATCGAAATACTCTGCGGGATTTGTCTCTGAGTGGCAGTCGAATAGGAAAACATGAAGATCGTGGGGCTTCTTTTTCGAGGATGGAAGACTTTGGTCAAGTTAATGGCGAAAGACAGCCTCGGAGAAAGGAAGATGATGATGTAATGACTGATTCTGAATTCTCCAAACCGAAATTAAATCCCAAAACTTCAAATATAAAGAATAGTAAGTCAGACATGGAACTTGAGTATGGTATAGTAGATGCTCTGGAGGTTGCTCGGCAAGTAGCTCAAGAAGTTGAAAGAGAAGTGGTGGAATATAGAGAGCCATCCTGCAGCTCGTCTTCTGATAAAATTTCTGATGGTGGAATCAGGCAGCTGGGTAAACTAGACACCATTACAGAAAAACAGGACCTTCCGGCTGATCACCAGGGAACGGAGGTCCAATCTGCAAAAAGTCATGTTGCTGAATCATATTCTGATGCGGAGACATGTTTGACGCATCCAGATAATGTAGATACTCAACCTGAAAATTTAAATGAAATGGAATCCTCCCTGGTCACTGAAGCAGCTCAAGGGGCAGATACAAGTACAGAAAAAGGATTTTGTGAATTTGATCTAAACCAAGACGCATTTAATGATGATGCAGAGCAGTTAGTAACTCCAGTGTCTTTACCGGTATCTGTTATTTCTGTTTCTAGACCAGCTGCTCCTTCTGGATTGCCTCTAACACCTTTGCAGTTTGAAGGGGCACTTGGATGGAGAGGCTCTGCAGCCACTAGTGCTTTCCGCCCTGCTTCCCCTCGTAAAGTTCCTGATAGTGATAGGACTCTTTCTAGTGGGGGAAATTCTGATAGTTCAAAGCAGAGGCCGGACTTTCTTGACATTGATTTGAACGTGGCTGAGACTGGAGATGAAACCAGGAAACAAAACCAGGGATCATCTTTCCCACAATCCAGAGAGTTATTGATTGAAAGTGGACAAAGAAGATCTGGGGGACTAAAGCTGGACCTTAACTGTGTTGGTGAGGATGTTGATGCTCCAGCATCAGATTTGAGGATGGAGGGACACTTTAACAATCAGAATAGCTACAGTGCCTCTCCTGCCTGCTCTTCTTCATCGCTGCAACCTTTGGTAAGAAATATTGATTTGAATGATAGGCCATTTGTTCAAGGTGACGCTTCAGATCAAGGTCCGGTTAAGTACTGTCAAAATACAAGCGCTTATGGAGGGTCTAATAAAGATGCTTCTGTCATTTCCATTATGGGTACAAGGGTTGAAGTTAGTGGAAAAGATTTTGCTCTTCGTGCTTCATCTTTGCCAAACGGCAGAACTGTTGAGCCTGCTGGAATAGGTGCTACTTTGGCAAGAACAGGAGATATATTAGGGATGGGTTCCGCAGTTCCTTACCACCAGACTCCTTTTATTGGTTACAATGGATTGACACCACGGCCAACCATTTCTTTCTCAACCATGTATGAACCTAGTGGTTCAATTCCCTACATGGTGGATTCAAGAGGAGCTGCTGTTATGCCTCAAATTATGGGTCCTATGTCAGCTGTTCCGCCTTCCTCCTACTCTCACACTCCATTTTTCATGGGCATGACAGATTCACAGCTGACCCCCAATGGCGTTGCTCATTCACGTCCTAAATTTGATCTGAATTCTGGATTGAGTGATTCTGGGGGTTTAAAGCAGTTTCTTTTCCCAGGTCATCTCCGATCCATGGAAGAGCAGTTGAGACAACCTTCAAGTTCTGGAGTTGGTGCAAAAAGGAAAGAACCAGATTGCCCTGATGGTGGCTGGGAAGGGTATCTGCTAAGCTATAAACATCAGCAGCCTCCATGGAAACAGTAATCATTCCTCACAAGATCCTGTTCTCCGCTTCAGACCTTTTCGTTAATCCACAGAAGTATACTGATGATCACTGCCAGAAAATGATTCATACAAGGAGGCTGAACCCATTAGCCTTAGTGTGGGAGTGGGTTTAATTTATGCCTAAATAAAGCTAGGTAACTTGTGCTGTTATATGATTCACGAGTTAATTGTTGAGGAAAAAATTAGGGGCGTCCTTTGTTTTTTTTTTGGTCTCATATTTTCTTTTCTTTTTGTTCCTTTTTATCTCATGGTGTTTTCATAGAAAGGCCATTGCAAAAAAAAAAAAAAAAAAAAAAAAAAAAAAAAAAAAAAAAAA